ATGACATTTTTGTTATAATTTACACTCATGACCTCTATGAAACACAAAAGTAGATTTAATATATTTACTGAAACTGTCAGAGTAGTACGATTGCTGCGTTGGGATATTACTATTTGTTGAGTTGGCAGAATTTCTTTGTTGTTGGCAAGCTATTCCTTTAAAGGTGCTGTTACCTGTTTTCTATCGTATCAAGACTAGCGCTGCATCTGAAATCGCATGCTTCCCTTCTATATAACGTTAGTAGGCGCAGGGACAGATTAACGCACGGGCCTACCGGGCACTAGACCAGAGGGGGGCCCAGCCGAAATACAGCACCTGCCAGAACGCGATTTCAACCATGGGGGACAGAGGCGTCATGCCCATTCAGACAGAGGGGGCACGTGGTCCTTCAGATTTTTGAGCCAAGTGGATTTTGAATGCAGCTTCCAAAAGACAAAAAAATAGCCGAATGATGTTTTTATATTTGATACGATCACAGCGGTGGGTTTAGAACGTTCAGTGCGGCACATCATCAGCTGCCAAATTCAAACCTGCGTTTGCGCTTTGGCTAGCGCTGAGCCAGAGTCAGACTCATTTTGTTTTTTTTACAGCGCTGCGCATTATGACCAATCACACACGATTCTGTTGAGCGTTCAGATGAGTCATCGCTAAAACGCCTTTGTTTTGTTCAGTGCGCGCGCTCGCTGACTGAATTCTGCTCTCTGGCGAATTCTCTCATCAGAAACAACAAAAGTGCTGATGTGCGTAAGATGTAAGTAAAATATTAATTTTACAGTGTAAACATCTTCAGTGATTATAATTTAATATAATAATAATAATATACGTTTTTGAGAGTGCTTGAAGTTCTTTGCTCTCTTTCTGTGCAATAAAAAGTAATAGTAACTTACTATGTTTTTATTAAATTCACGCTAAATACAAAGTCAGTAGTATTACAAATATTTTATGGCAGGACACCCTTATCTGGTACTTAAAGGGATAGTTCACCCAAAAATTATGTCATTAATTACTCCCCCTTACGTCATTGCAAACCCGTAAGACCTTCGTTGATCTTCGGAACACAAATTAAGATATTTTTGATGAAATCTGATTGCTTTCTGACCCTCCATAGAAAAAGGTAGAAAGGTACCAAGAACATTGACAAAATAGTGCATGTGACATCAGTGGTTCAACCGTAATTTTATGAAGCTATGATGATACTTTTTGTGTGCAAAAAAACAAAAATAACTTTATTCAACAATTCTTCTTCCCCGAGTTACCATCTACTGCCATTATCTAGAGCAGGGGTGGAAAACTCCGGTCCTGGAGAGCCCTGCAGAGTTCAGCTCCAACCCTAATTAAAACTCACCTGCCTGTAGCTTCCTAGTAACTGTTCAGACCTTGATTAGCTCGTTCAGGTGTGTTTGATTAGGGTTGAAGCAAAACTCTGCAGGGCTGCGGCTCTCCAGGACCGACGTTCGCCACCCCTGATCTAGAGTAACACAATGCGTGTGTCATGTTACTCTAGATCAGGGGTGCCCAACCCTGCTCCTGGCGATCGACTGTCCTGCAAAGTT